TAGAAGTAATATAGCTTGTCTGGTAGGGTCGTGTCACTGGGCAGCTCACGGCTGTGCTTCCCTTTGTAGTCTGTAATAGTTTGCATGCTCTGCCACATCTGATTAGTGCCGGAGGCGGTGTAGTACGATTCAATCTTAGTCCTGTATTGAGTCATCCAATTCGTATGCTATTGTACATCCGGGTAAGACGTATGATATTATTCGTCCTCTAATTCGTATGATATTGTACGACCGCTATTCCATTCATAATGTAACCTAACGTAACATAATGTATCATACTAAATGGGGGGATCAGATTTACTTACCAAATCTTACGAATTGCCCTGAGGTCAGGTTAGAGAAAAGGGCATTGGTGTCACTGTGACACAGTGTCAACTCCCTCAGGTTAAAATCAGTGTGTCTTTGAGAAAAAACAGGCTGTTCCTGATAACGATAAAAACTTCCACTCCTTCTAGACAACCACATTATGGCATAGCCTACACACTGTTTTATATAATACTTACAGACTTATTACAATGTACAACATAAGTTACATTTCACACATCTCCACACATCTTCACCTCCCTTTCTCTCCTTCACTCTCTCACATACATTACACATGCACAGGCCGCTCCATGGTGCTGCAATTGTGTTTCTGGTATTACTTTTCTGCTGCAGTCACTACCTCAGTAAAAAAAAGGCATCAACAGTTAAAGGGCTGCTTTTTTCTGCTGCTGTGCCAGGGTTTTTTCTGGATCAAAATGGGGCTTAGGGGGCGGGTGTGTGGCCATGGGCGTGGCCAATGGTCTGGTCACCGACCCGGAAATTCCTGTTGGCCATAGTGACACATTTTTCCATGTGGCAGAGAAAAAATGTTGCTGTTTTAAAGTTAATTTCCTGCCGTTCTACACATTTTGCCATGGCTTATGCTATCTGAGTGACTCAAATATTATAACAAAATCAATGGGGGCCCCATGCCATGACAAAAATACTCCTGAATGCATGATTTGGGGAATTTCTGATTCTCCCTGAATGTCTAGCTTTTATTTTGGTGATAGTTAGTTCTCAAAGATGATCTTATAAAAAAATATAAAGGTCCATTATATTTTCTACATACTTTATATCAGGTTTTAGTCGTTTAAATTTACACTAAAAACGTTTTTCCATATGAAAAATTACTGTTTGGACATAGGCGGCCCGCCAGTACTTTTCTATGCAAAAAAAACCTGTGTGCTCTTGGCATTTTTCTGCCTGAATGTGTTCAACAGCACCGTCATCCAAGAAAAATCTACTGAGAATTCTCCAAAACCCACAGCCACTTACATAAAAGCTGCTGCTTGGACTGATCTCCTGCTAATGATTCAGGCATAGATCCTATATCCACTCTGTATGCATTGACTAAATCCATTCCCCAAAGCTGCTGTTAAGCCAGCAAGCATTCTCCTTAGTATTGGTTCCTTTGGTGGAGATGGACACTAGCCAGGGTCTATAGCCAGGGCACAGGGGCACTTACTGTAAGGCACATTCTCATAGTGCTATTACCTGCCTTGGGCTGAATTCTGACGTTCTCTCATAGCTCCTTGGCACTGTTCTCGTTCTTAAAGATCTTTCCCTCCTAAATCTTGACTTTGTCCTGGTCAAGTTTGGCACAGCAGGACTTGGGTATATTAAACCACAGCTTTGAAAGGCCTAATCAAATGTGAGCAATGTTTTTATTTGAGTTATGGAGCCAGTGAGCTCCCCCCCTCCCTTTCACTTTCAACAGACAATAAAGCTCAGTTTCCTGTTAGATAAGTCATACTCAAACTAGCAGGTCCAGGAATATAGGCAGATAAGACCCAATGTTGTTTGGCAAGTCTGTGGTCAGATCGTCATAGCAGCCCACAAGCTACAGTACACTCTACAACTGATATCTCTATTTGGAGCCAGAACAGTGATTTCACACTATTACAGAAATAGTATTTTCTGATGAATACAGCCATTCATTCTTCTTAGACTGAGACCCAGCATTTTTACAGTACAGTGTTGACGGCCAACTCCATGGAAAACAACTGACAAAAGAGGATCTGTCAATTTCTCCTAAGAAGTGAGCCATCCTCTCTGTATATATAGTGGGGTCCGAAATTATTGACACCCTTGATAAAGATGAGCAATAATTATATTATTTTATACTAATACAATTGCTCAGAGAAAGATATTTGGTTTAACAAGTAATCATTTATTTTCTCAAAAAGTTAGGGGTCAAAATGGTTGACACCCCTAAAGATTCTTATAAATAAAGTAGTCAAAAGTTTAGTATTCCAAACAATGAATACATCAAGCTTGTGACTCTACAAACTTGAATGCATTTGCAGTTAGTTTTGGTTGTGTTTCAGATTATTTTGTGCCCAATAGAAATGAATTGTAAATAATGTATTGTGTCATTTCGGAGTGACTTTTATTATAAATTAGAATAGAATAACACGTCTACATGAATGTGGATGCTACCATGATTACGGATAATCCTGAATGAATCGTGACTAATGATGAGTGAGAAAGTTAGTGTCAAAGATCATACCCCCAAGACATGCTAACCTCTCACCATTACCAATAACATGGGAGGTTAGCATGTCTTGGGGGTGTGATCTTTGACCCTACCTTTTTGAGAAAAAATTATTACTTGTTAAACAAAATCTCTTTCTCTGAGCAATTGTAATAGTATAAAATAATATATTTCTTCCCCAATACTGCTCAGTAATTGAATTATTTATTTTATACAGTTATTATTGCTAATCTTTATCAAGGGTGTCAATAATTTCAGACCCCACTGTAAATAAAGCTTTGAAATATTTTATATAATACGACAGCAGAGCTGTGAATTGCCAGGGACCTCACGATACGATATTATCACAATACTTCGGTACCGATATGTATTGTGATTTTCAAGTTCTCACGACAGTAAATGTATTGCGATTCGATAATGTGATTTTATTGTGATTCGATGTTCCAAACATATTGCTCACCATATGTCTGCTGCAGAGGAACAAGAGAGAGCCATGAGAAAATGAGTTTTGATCAGTCATGGAAATAAAAGAGCTGAAAAAAATTGCCTCCTTATTTTAAAAGAAGATGGAGAACAAGCTATGAAGGAAAATTACTGGAGTTTTGGTGCAGGTACAGCCAACTAGCGCAAAAATAATATTGCGATATTGTCAAAACGATACGATATATCGTCAAAAATAATGTCCAGATATGTAACTGTATCGATTTATTCCCCTTCACTAGTGTAATGCATTAACACCCCTCAAAACACACACACACACACACACACACATACTCTTACACATCATCTTCATGGACTTTGCCGATGGAGCCAGATCAAAGTAGCAGCAAGTCAAAGTACCAGGCTTTTACTAGAATTGATGGCAGAGAGCTAGAGGTGGCAAGTTCACTGCTTCGGATGGCTCCCTACTAAATAATTTCACTGGCTGGTGTTTGATCACCAAATCCATTCCTGGTGTGTTGAAAGAGATCTAGAGAGATGGAGAGAGTGAGATAGAGATATTAAGTGATTGAGTGAGGAGCCTCGCACAGCTGTTTTTTTTATGTGGGATTCATTCCTGGAAGCGGCGACCCAAAAATAGGTTGTCCAGTGAAGGAAGAAATCAACCCCCTGCTCTCTACCCCCATCACCCCTCCATCCCCCCCACCAGCCAGTCATGACCTGCTCCCACTGCCACTCTTACATAAGCTGGGTGTCGTCGTTGGACATCCCTCATCAGCCTGGTTCTCTGTGAACTTAGTCCACAAAATGGCCCTAGTGTGTGCTGTAAACAGGACAGCCCTCATTGAGGTTGACTTTGGTACCCACTTTGCACTGTCACTGTGTGTTAGTGTCACGATGCCCAGGTGCCACATTCTACCAATAGTGCTCCTTGTTGTTGTGAGCTTGGCTCCTGGATCAGGACACTTGACTGAGAATGACAGCTTGGTGTTTGTGGACAGAGCAGGCATACAGTAGGACAGCCTGTGTTCTGAGAGGGACAGCAGAGGGCAGTGAGAACTACTGGCCTGATATCACGGCCTTATTGTTGCGTAATCTTTAGAGTGAGTGTGGACAGTTGGCCTCCTACAGCAGAGAGAGAGAGAGAGAGAGAGAGAGAGGAGAGAGAGAGAGAGAGAGAGAGAGAGAGAGAGAGAGAGAGAGAGAGAGAGAGAGAGAGAGAGAGAGAGAGAGAGCAGAGAGAGAGAGAGAGAGAGAGAGAGAGAGAGAGAGAGAGAGAGAGAGAGAGAGAGATGTCGCTTTGTACTTAAAAGCACCGGCTGGGCTGTTTTGTAAAAACAATTAAACTACACAACACACCCCATCCAACATTTTGGAAACACAAGCTGCTATATCTCTCTGAAGCAATCACTTTCATTTTCTCTATAATTGATGCATTCATTTCTGGGAACTCTGCTCTTACCCCCTCCAAAAACATTGAAGCTAGTTCTCTAATGGCTTGGTGCCATTAGAGAACTGTTACGCATCAGTGTTTCCAAGCCCCTAGTAGAGTAATGCGTTTCTTATGAGAGGGCTGGGGGTGGCAGGTTTCTGGCTTGGCTCAACTCTTTGGTCTCTGGCGCTGGTAGTCTTTTACGCCTCCTCCCACCACAGGCTGATAATTAAGAGTACTGGCTACTGTATCAATACCGTAATCTATTCACATCTAGATTTTTGTTTACATAGATTTTAAAGCTATATCTGTTCATCTGCAAACAGTATGCAGTGAACTCACATGCATGTGTAACCTTATGCAATGAAACCCAGCCCCCTATAATTACATTGAGGGGCCTAGATACATTTGCAACGTTGCATAGTAGATGACTTAGCATTGGCCTCTACATTGTGTATTATATACTGTATATTTGTGTCTCGTCCATTTAACCTCAAATCTCAATACTTCTGTATATAATAATGTATTCCTCTCTTAATGGTATTTTTATGTCTACTCTATTTTATCTCTATAACCTACTATGTATATAGTCTCACCACTATAATAATGTATTCTCCTCTTCCCTGTCTCCAGACGCGGAGGCTGACGAAGGTGGAGCGCCAGCGTTTCAGTGAGGAGGTGGAGATGCTGAAGGGGCTGCAGCACCCCAATATCGTCCGCTTCTACGACTCCTGGAAGGACAACTGCAAGGGCCACAAGTGCATCCTTCTTGTCACCGAGCTCATGACGTCAGGCACCCTCAAGACGTGAGTTAAAGGGATACCATTTTTATGTATCTGAATCCAGTATGAAGGAAGTTAGAGGTAGTTTCACAAGCCAATGCTAACTAGCTTAGCACAAAGACTGAAAGTATGCTAGCTGTACCCGAAGACTTAAGCTGTGTTCGAATACTTATACTAACCGCATTAACAGTACTATTTGTGACGTAAATTGAGTATGTAGTATGCTTATTGATCATAGTATGGATATAGTTAGTATGCCAAAAGTTCCCAGATGTCGTACTACAGTCGCCAAAATATGAAGTATACAAGCAGTGGACACTATTTCAGTGCTTTTAGGGCCCATAATGCAATTCTTCCGAAAATGGGTGTGGCTTCAACATTTTCAGATTTGAAGAAAATGGCGGAAAATATGCAGCTGAAGTCCGACGAGAGCGGATTCAAATTCATTGCTTTAACTAATTATGACAAATGTTAAGAAAATGTTGAGCAATGTAATAAAGTAATGACTTTTCAAATAAGTTACGTTACACGTTATGTTGGCTGACAATTTATTTCTTACTCTATCCTTATAAACCGCATAGCATATCATTACAGCAGAATGTACCGGTATGTTAGCTAGCTACCTAACGTTAGTTGGCTGCTAATACATCAAACTTGCCAGTGTATGAACTATATGCTATCTAACTACCCAACGTTTATTGACTTGATTATTCACGTCATTCTTAGCTAAGTGGTATAGTCGTTGTGCATTCTCAATGGACATTGTGAATTCGGGTGCGTTCGTAAATTCGCTCTGGCTATCTACTCCGATTTCAGAGCACTCTCGTCTTAGTGTGCCAGAGCGCAGAATAACTGTTTAATTTATGAACGCTCAACACCCGTTGAATATGGCCGGTGTCAGTAAACGTCGGCAAAAAAGCGTCATTAAATTGTTGCCAGCTGCACAGTTACAGTCACCAACGTTCTGGATAACATGAAAACAGCCTAACCAGCTTTGTTAGGGCGAGTAAAATAGTCAGAGTGCAGTGTTCTCTTATTTGTGTCTGGAAGTAGCTAGCAAGCTAGCCAATTTTAGCCAGTTAGCTTGGGTGCTTGACTGCCGTTGTGAGGTCAGAACGCTCGGATCAACCCTACTCCTCGGCCAGAGCGGGCAGTGTGCGCTCTGAACGGTCTGAATTTACGAACAGACAATCTGACAATGCTCTGAATTTACGAACGCCCACGCACTCTGGCACTCCAGATTGAATTTACGAACACACCCGAAGTCGTAAGATGTCTAGCTAGCAATTTGTTATGCTAACAAGCTAGCAAGAGGTTGCATAGCAACAGCATCAACTTCCGGTAGACAGGCGAAGCACTAGTACGCTCAACTGAAAGGATACCTTTCGTTTACAGTATACTAAAATGAACTAATAGTATATAGTATGTAGTATATACTCATTAAGTATGTAGTACACAGTATGTTAATATGGGTATTCGAACACAGCTTTAGTCTTTGTGCTTAGCATTGGCTCACGAAACTACCTTTAACTTCCTTCATACTGGACGCAGATACATAAAAAGGGTATCCACGAGTTCATCTAAGTCTACCCCCACTCCCTGAGTAATAAGCAGATGGGGAAAAGCATGTGCCATTTTCCTACGTCATCTCCTTGTAAAAGGGTGTGCAAAAGACTCAAAAGCAGATATGCTTTCCGTCTGTGTTTTCTGTTCATGTTAGTGTATCTACTCTATTGGCTAACCTTGGTAGAAATGGAGTGTCACTCTCAATTTGAGCATGACAGGAGAAAATTGGTTCCAGAGACAGAGGGAATGGAAAAGGCTACCTCATCCTCAGGCTCTCAGATTCAGTGTGAGCACCCCTGGACCACGGTGCTCTGTAACTTAGTAACACTTGTTGCTTACACTGTTGTACCCCATGGTTCCAATCACTCAGTTGCTTGGACAACAGGGTTGTGGGTTTGAGTCCTGCATGGGCCACACATACAGTACTCTTATCAGCCTCACCCTGCAGGTACCTGAAGAGGTTCAAGGAGATGAAGCTGAAGCTGCTGCAGCGCTGGAGCCACCAGATCCTGAAGGGCCTCCACTTCCTCCACACCCGCACCCCGCCCATCATCCACAGGGACCTCAAGTGTGACAACATCTTCATCACCGGCCCCACAGGCTCCGTCAAGATCGGCGATCTGGGCCTGGCCACACTAAAGAGTGCGTCGTTCGCCAAGAGTGTCATTGGTGAGTCTCCCAACTACCCACAGCCACAGCCACTTCAGCTGAAACTGACGCTCAGCATGATGGGGTGCATCAGGGCTCTATTCTAGACCCTGTGAATATTGAATATTTTTAAAGCGTTCTGTCCCTGCTACTAATGAAGGTTTTAGAGTGAGACCTACGTAATAGCTGAAACCTCATAGAGGATGTTAAAACTTTTTGCCACCTACAACACTTACTATTTGCTCAGGGAGTTTTTTAAATTTATTTTTTACAAAAAACTACAGAGATACAGTATTGTGTGAAACGGTTATTCAATATTTCAATGAATAAATAATTCTCAATTGCTTCCAGTGGCAATCACTCAGTGTCAAACAGAGTCCCAGTCCCACTGCTATCTGTGTGCTGCTGTCCCTTCAGTGTGGTGTGACCTTAAACTGGAGCAACTGTAAATAAAGGCTGCAATGCCATGTTTTAGGCTGGCCGCTGTTTATTTATGTGGCTATGTGTTTATATTTATACTGCCATAGTGCATGATGGCTATTCTTTGTAGTGACGTCAGCACAACTGCCCAAAATGTTCTAATCTATCTCACTGCTATCACAGTGTTTGGTCTCAGTGACTGTTTAATGGTGTGGGTCATCTAAGTCCCATTTGGAAACCTTCAAACCTGCAGACGTTTAACATTTGTTTTACATTATCACGCTCAAATAAGATTTGGTGTTGTATCAATAAATACCTTATCTTTTGATTACCTCCTGCATTGTTTCAGTACCGCATGGATAATGTTTTTTCCATTTTAATACACTTGTACTGTAAATGAATACCAGAACAGTTCGTTGCCAATACACATTTTCCCTACTGTATTACAAGGCACACAGTTGGATACTTGTTCCAAAGTGGTCAGAATGAGAATGCATAAGGCCACTGTATTGTGAAGTGTAACTGCAGTTGTCAGTGAAGTAGGATAACATTTTGCTCCATTCTCATAACCACTGTACCATTATACTCCCCCCCCCCCTCCCCTCTCCGTAGGGACTCCTGAATTCATGGCTCCAGAGATGTATGAGGAGAGGTATGATGAGGCGGTGGACGTCTATGCCTTTGGGATGTGCATGCTGGAGATGACCACGTCTGAGTACCCCTACTCTGAGTGCCAGAACGCTGCCCAGATCTACCGTAAAGTCACCAGCGTGAGTGGTGGATTTCTCTGTCTCTGGTGGATTCTGTGTTTCCAGTCCATGTTGTTCAGTTTGTCTGTTGTTTCGCTAGATGTCGCTCAGATCTGAAGAGAAATGTGGCCATCTTGCTGGTTGCAGTTTGACAGCACCACTTGTTCAGTGTAGTGCTGCTTGCCTCTGGGAAGAAGTAAGCAGGAAAGAGGCATTCAAAGGGCGTGCAACATGTGGATCATCATCTCTTGTTCCTTTCAACTAACTGCAGGAAATTGCCTCCTGCTGTTCTCTCTTTCTCTATCTCCCCCCTCTGTCTTTCTTTTGAAGTTGCTTGTTATGCATCACTAATGTGACACAAATAGAGACTCTCAATTACATACTCTCAATTGAGCATTTTGTGGGTCTCTCTCCATTGTGAATGCCACCTACGTTCTCACTTCCATCCCATCCGGTCTCCTAAAATAGAAACCCTCCCCTTGTACCCAACCCTGTTAGCTCTGTTTCTGAGTGTTTATCAGACCGCTAATGGTAATCTACCGTCTCTCATCTCTATCCAATGTCGCTGTGACATTTCTCCTCAGCAGAGTCAATTACAGGGTCTCTGTGGAGCTATAATGGTATTTACCAAATGGACGTCTCTCTTTCACTGCTGTAATCAGCAGTTGCACCATAACGACCAGATTTGGAAGAGCTGAAGGGCTCGGAATTGATTGCTAATTACTGGAATTGGAATTATGCCTTAAGTCTTTTACTTGTCGGAGAACGAGGTCCACATGCAGGAATGGGAACGTCTCCACAATGCTGGATTGACTCCACTCCACAATTCTGGATTTCTTTGTGGTAATTTGGCCAAAAAACTGAAATCCCAAAGGACCAAGCACATCGTGGATTAATTTACATACAGCTCTTCCAACGTGATTGACGCACTAAAAACCCACGTGCTAGCTGTGTGTGTGTGTGTGTGTGTGTGTGTGAGAGAGAGCACATTACAGCCCTGGAACAACACAATCAGTATTTTAGTGCTAGAGTCCAAATGAGTGTTATAGCGTCGAGGAAGCAAGGCTCTCACTCCGTTATGGGTTTTCTGCCAAAAGCAGTTCACCAGCCAGCTTCTGTATTCAGACGTTCTCCAGCCAGCCTCTGTATTCAGACGTTCTCCAGCCAGTCTCTGTATTGAGACGTTCTCCAGCCAGCCTCTGTATTCAGACTTACATGCTTACTTACTGTTGTTTCTTATTTGTGTTGACCTCAGCAGATAAGGACCTCCATGCTTCGTTCATACCACAGTTCTAATTCAGCCATGGGGCTTGACCTATAGAGGAAATGAATAGCAGATTATTATTGAGACTACGGCAAATCGCCACCATTCTCCCCCTACACTTAGCCACTGTCTGACGTCATTTTATGACAATGTCTGTGTCCTCAAATTATCTTGTTCCCTTTCTCAGAGCTATATATTTATGCTATGGTAGGAGAGCTGTATATCTTTGTTAACCTGATGGTGAAAGAGGAACTAAATGGTCTATTGGTGGAATGATATCACTGTCGTGTTTAGTAGCCTTCACCAACAGGACAAACAGTGGAGATTATATATGACTCGTGTGATGTAAGATACGTTTCCCCTGTGCTGTGTGACGTGTGAGATGAGACATTATACGGTGTCCATGACCATCCATCTGCACAGAAAGACCTATTTGTTTTTCCTTCAGGTGAGCTACATTGTCTTTTCGAGTAGGCGTAAAAGCTTTGTCCTCCCTCATTCCTGTGTGCGTGTGTGTGTGTTTTGCATCTGTGTGAGTGTGTATTGTATATGCGTTTGTGCATTCTCAGACACATTTGTTGAAATGTTTGTGTGTTTGTGTGTGTGTATTTGTGTCTGTGTATACGTGTATCTGCATGAACATGTGTGTGGGCGGCGGAATGACGCCAGTGTGTGGGTGCACAAAAGCCAAGACAATGCCCCCAAACCAAGTAACTTTCAAAAATAACATTCAAGAATCAGCCAAGTTAGAGTAAATCCTTTAGCCAATACACTACAGCAAATTAACTTGGACAGTAACACTGACTTCTCTGGAAGTTCACTGGGTTGAAGTGAGCTCTTACAGAAGCAGAACATTACTGAGTGCATCAGCTGACAAGGGGTTGCCGCCGCTGCAACAGGACATTGATACGGTGAGCAGAACTGGCCCAGCATCACTCTTCAAAGCCGTCTCTGTGCTGTGGTCTGACTGAGTGTGTGAAAAGACAGACACAGCCTTGTGACCAAGGCGTTAGTGGATGCCCGCTGCGCCTCTTAAAATGCATGTACTTGCAGTTTACTGCTGTGTATCTATGGAGGTTACTGGCCTGTTAAATGTGGTCATAAAATCTATTATTGTAAGGTGGTCCTCATAAGAATGTACTCTAATTGGCTAAAGATATGTACCTGTAAAGTCACCTAGGGACGTCCTAGGATAGGATATCTGGTTCCAGCTATATACAGTACAGTACCAATTTGATACACAGGACCTTCCCTAGGACAACAGTACTAAGGCAGGTGTTTAAAGAGGTATACTCAAGGAGTGGCATACAGGTTACAGTAATCCTTTCTGGAGGGAATCCCAATTTTAACGGTTAATGTACACAAACTTAAGTCACTCACTGAAGTAATGTTTTCTTTCCAGATTTGCTCCTTTGTTATCTTGAAAAAGAGGCATGTATTGACTGTGTACTATCTACTCGATAATAGATACACGCTCGTCGAACAGCTCATTCCAAAATCATAGGCTTTAATATGGAGTTGGTCCCCCTTTTGCTGCTATAACATCCTCCACTCTTCTGGGAAGGCTTTCCACTAGAGGTTGGAACATTGCTATGGGGACTTGCTTCCATTCAGCCACGAGCATTAGTGAGGTTGGGCACTGATATTGGGCGATTAGGCCTGGTTCGCAGTGGCTTTCCAATTCATCCCAAAGGTGTTCGATGGGGTTGAGGTCAGGGTTCTGTGCAGGCCAGTCAAGTTCTTCCACACCGATCTTGACAAACCATTTCTGTATGGACCCAAACCATGAAAAACAGCCCCAGACCATTATTCCTCCTCCACCTAACTTTACAGTTGCCACTATGCATTCGGGCAGGTAGCGTTCTCCTGGCATCCGCCAAACCCAGAGTTGTCCGTCAGACTGCTAGATGGTGAAGCGTTCCAGAGTCCAATGATGGCGAGCTTTACACCACTCCAGCCGACGCTTGGCATTGCTTATGGTGATCTTAGGCTTATGTGCAGCTGCTCGGCCATGGAAACCCATTTCATGAAGCTCCCAATGAATAGTTATTGTGCTGACGTTACTTCCAGAAGCAGTTTGGAACTCGGTAGTGAGTGTTGCAACCGAGGACAGACGATTGTTACGCGCTTCAGCACTCGGCGTCCCGTTCTGTGAGCTTGTGTGGCCTACCACTTCGCGGCTGAGCCGTTGTTGCTCCTAGATGTTTCCACTTCACAATAACAGCACTTACAGTTGACCGGGGCAGCTCTAGAAGGGCAGAAATTCGATGAACTGACTTGTTGGAAAGGTGGCATCCTATGACGGTGCCACGTTGAAAGTCACTGAGCTCTTCAGGAAGGCCATTCTACTGCCAATGTTTGTCTATGGAGATCGCATGGTTTTGTGCTCAATTTTATACACCTGTCAGCAACGGGTGTGGCTGAAATAGCTGAATCCACTAATTTAAAGGGGTGTCCACATACTTTTGTATATATAGTGTATATTCATTAAATGTGCAGAATACAGAATATTATACATTTCCATTGATCCTACCAACAACCTCAACACATTTGTGATTTCACATGGTAAGGAGAAAATTGCGTTCTAGGATTCTAGGAATTCCAGGAACATTCGTCATTCCCCCACACAACATATTACCATTAAACAAGAGGTCTCCAGGGTTAAATGAAGCCTTCAAAGAACAGGAGTTCCTGGCAGCTTAGCAGAGTGTGTAGTTACCATGGCTACCAGCTCTCTAACCCTCCCTCCTCTATCAATTGTCCAATGAGTAACAAATTACTGAATGGTGAGTGATGAATCTTGTTGAATCAAATGAGTAGATCTCAAGCACCATTGAGCCATTCATTCACCTTTCTGGAACAATTGCTAACCTTCACATATTTCAGTAGTTCTGTGTGGTATGGTGACATTTACGTCACAGTATTGGGAGGTGCGATTGAAAGTCATCGCCTGAAGCCCCATACCTAAGCTCACAGTCTTCATTGAGTGGCAGTCCATTGAGTGGCAATCATATTGTTTTCAACATGGGGTCCAACTATGGGGTGAACAAGGTCTTACCATGCCTTGATACAGAGGGGTTGGGTTAAATGTGGAAAACACATTTCAGTTGAATGCATTCAGTTGTACAACTGACTAGGTATCCCCCTTTCCCCTTTCCCCTTATTGAACATGATCTGACTCCATACAATGACATCTTGAGAGCCAATTAAAGGCAATGGGAGAGTCAGACTAATCAGTACATTGCCAATTAACTACCTGCCACCCACACAACCAAAACCCTGCTGTGCTGCTATGGGGGTACATTGCCTGTTTCCCTTTCTAGTGAGAGAGTGTGGGTGTGAGGGAGAAGACACCCCTGGCCATGCCCTCTCTACCACCATAATGTGTTTGGACCCCAGGAAGAGTAGCTGCTGCCTTGGCAACAGCTAATGGGGATCCCTAATAAATACAAATACAAAATACAAAGACCCCTCTCAAAGAGAAAAATAATAAGAGTGTGAAAAACAAACATAGAAGGAGCTCTCTCTCTCTGTCTATCTCTCAGTCTCTCTCTCTCTCTGTCTATCTCTCTGTCTATCTCTCTGTCTCTCTCTCTCTCTCTCTCTCTGTCTATCTCTCTGTCTATCTCTCTCTCTCTCTCTGTCTCTCTCTCTGTCTCACTGTCCCTCTCTGTCTATCTCTCTGTCTGTCTCTCTGTCTATCTCTCTGTCTCTCTCTCTGTCTGTCTATCTCTCTCTCTCTCTCTGTCTCTCTCTCTGTCTCACTGTCTCTCTCTGTCTCTCTCTCTGTCTCACTGTCTCTCTCTGTCTCTCTCTCCGTCTCACTGTCTCTCTCTGTCTCTCTCTCTGTCTC